TATATTAAATTCATCGTTGGCACTGTGTTAGTGTTTGTCTTTTGTGCGTATTTATGTTATAGTAATTCTATGAGATTCATAAATATCTAACATTGTTTTGTAATTATTTATTATATGTATGTATATGTGTATGTATTGTAAATATATATGTGTATGCATATGCCACCCACCATACTGTGAGGTTAACTGTTGCGCATTAAGCATTCAAATGTCATTAATAATAACACTAATACAATACTACATAAGTAGGTATATGCTTTTGAATTAGAAATCTTCGTTAATACAGTAGTGCGCTAAGAAATAGCAGTTAGTTTCATATAAGCAAATTAAAGCGTTGCTTCAGAGATTTTGCATTTCTTAGCAGTAAATATTTATATTTTTTGTTTAAGTTATATTAAAATTAGCATTTTGCCATTTTCTCTCTTTCCTTTCCACTTTTAAGGGGTTATATCCACTTGTGAATTTGAAAAAATTGATTTTTTTTTGCATATGTATAGAATTTACATATATCCTATACGATAATATCTTCCAAAAATTTGAAGTTAATGCATTAAGTAGTTTCGGAGATATGAGCGTATTTATAATAAATTTTTAGCTTAGTGCAATTGGCTCATGAATCGTTTTTCTCGATGCACTGTTTTCGTGGTCGGTGAAAAAATTTCTCCAAAAAGGCTGTATCGATCGACTTGAAGTTTTCACACGACTTACTTAGATATATTTTCCAGGCAGTTATCGAACAAATAAGAGTTTTAAAAATAACATATTTTTGTGCATTTCTGAATTATAAATATTTTTACAAAAAACTATTTTTTTTTTGGGAAGCCATCGTTTTGTCAAAACTTGAAATTTTGATTATTCCTTCGATCATTACCTGTATTGTATTGATCTATAGTAATACTAACATTTTTTATTGCTTTAGATTTGAGATAATTTTAGGCAGAAAATTCTCTCTCACTGCCTGACACCTTTTTTCGGAGATCGGCTACGGGATTAAGGGAATCCAAAAAACTGTCAGAATGAATCTCCAATTATTAAAGTATATAAAATTCTGTGAATGTACATTAATTAACTTTTTTTTTAAAATAACATAGCCTACAGCAATTCTTAAGTTAAGTAATCTAGCATAAAATAAGGAACATATCAGTTAATTCCCAATCACAAGATATTGCTATTTATCAAAGTCGCACACCTGACGAAGTGATAAGCCAATTTCAAATTGATTTAGTCTATATTGTAGACGTAAAAATAAAATTTTTCTATTTCTTGGGCTCATTAATCTGTCGTCATCATTGGTTAAACTACAATTTTGGATCCAAAAAGGAAAATCGAAAAGGAACGGCGTCCTAAATATTTGTTTAAAAAGAGTGAAACAAAATCTATCCTGCTGCATTAAAGTTCGAGTTCAGAATATAAGCACTCACAATTTGTATATCCTTCGTAGACCTAGATACATCGAAAAAATTGCTTGGCTCTAAAAATAATTTGAAACTTCTAGCAACAATTGGCAAAACTGGTTTATTAAGCGTTTCTATGAAATTTTTAGAATTATAAATATAGAAATATTACGGTAATGAGACTTAATGAGCTAAATATTGTACTTTAGTTCAGACCTTGCTTTTTAAATATCTCAAAAAAATGTAGAGTTTTTTAAGACATATTCAGAGGATTATGTGATCCCAAGTTTGTTCAGTCTTAGTCTCTGGGGTAGAAATTAACGAATGTATTTGTTTAGGCCCTGTTTGAGTAAATCTGTTATTATTATTTTCAGAATGTAAGAAAATGCAATACTTCATTTCTACTTCTATTCAGTCTTTCTTATATAATACCATCTGATCAAAAATGACCCGAACTGACAAAAAAATATGTAAAATATAATAAATAAAATTTTTATTAAAATTTTTTTTATCAAAAATCTTTTTTTTTTGAATATAGTTTTCAATCATTTGGACCAGGCAAAAAAACATGTTTCAAAAATGCAGTTTTTAAACATTTGGATCAGTCTGACTCGAATTTGATCAGTTGTTATATAGTATATATTTTATGAAGCCTTTCTTAAATGTTATTTATTAATTGTGTAAAAACGTCTGCCGTTCGCTCTTATAGTCTTAAATACCGTAACAATTATTTTTTATGAATTCAAAAATTCTTAAAAACATTTCATCTTGTCTTGCCACGAAATTTTAAAAAACTTTCATAATCTCATAAAACGCAAGAGTTCTTATAATAAACTGTTCTAAATTTTTTGAAACCATAAATATAATTGAAATATATGCCAGTTTCTATTTCTATGAACATCACTGTAAATTTAGCTTTTCCAAAGTATCCACTATTTGCGTTTCTAGAAATATGTATATGATCGACTTATGGTGGACAGCTGTTTGTATTTATCCAACAATCGCCGATATTGTTTGTCCATAGATTGCTACTTCATTGTGCAGATTTTCTATGAAATGTTATTAATATTTATAGTTCGGCTTTATTGCGTATCGAACAAGGACGACAGCGATTATTCATTATAGGTACTTTATTGATAGTCAAACACACAAACACTCATACATGCATATTCCTGTACACATTAGCAATATATTAATAATTGAATATAATTAAAATGTATTGAATGAGTGGTGCATGTGTATGACTGCGCGTATTCATCAAGCTTGATTTCTATGAAATCATTAATAATCAAGAATAACACTCGCAAAGACATCAGTTTCGAGATATAGAATTTTTATTGTATGCAGCTTGGACTAGTACCACTCCGAAAAAAGTTAGTTCCGTAACCATTTTAAACAAGTTTAATTTCCTACTAGGTAGTCCTATTCGATACCTACAATACCTACCGCCTAAAGTTCATTCATTGAAGTTGAAGGCACGCAAGAAGTATCAATATGATAAAAATGTGAAATTTGAGCAAGATCGTCAGGCAAAATGTAATATATAATTGCAAGCAAGCACAATGACTTTTAGTGGTGGTTGAATTTTAATTGAAGTGGAAGTAATTAAACGTAGATGCACACACTCGAATATACATACTTTTACCTAACACTACACTGGCAATTAATTGTGTCTCCTCCACACACTCTATTGGAGTGTTGTAAATATTACATTTCACATTATGTAACATATTATATATATGTATATGTCTGTACGTTAGTACATAAGCGTAGTTATTTCCACTTATAAAAATGAATAATTGCAATAAGTCTGCGATTACTTAACTACCTGTGCAAATTTGTATGTACATTTGAGGGTTCTTTTCAGAGCTTACGAAGCAATAAAAATTTTTGTAGAAATTGTGATAGTTAAAATAAAGTGGACTGATTTGGAAGTAACTAGTAACAGACTGGTTGCAAATGGTGTTCTAGCGTTTGAAATTACAAAAATTTTATATTCAACAGATATTAATATTTGAAGGTAAAGTGAATTGGTTGGACAAGGTCTAGTAAACAACTAGTTACGAAAGGAACACTTGAAAATTATGTTCCGAATTGTTTGTTTTTTTTCAATAGAAAGCTTTGAAGCAAAAATTATCTCTTTTATATGTGGGTAGTAACAAACTAGTTGCATATGGAGTAGTTATGTTTAAAACTAAAATAGTATTTTGATTTATATAAGTAAAATTATGTTTTAATGCAGTATATTTTCAAGCGATATGAAACCGATTAATGTACTTTTCATAATTAATTTAAGTAAAGATTAATTAAATTTCTCAATTTCGTATTAATTTGTATACCCTTAACAGTGTGTATAAAGCTTGCTATGAAATTTGTAACACCTAGAAGGAAATGTCGGAGACCGTATCAATTATATACCTAAATGATCCGCATAAAGAGCTGAGTCGATTTAGCCATGTCTGCCTGTTTGTGCATCCGTCTGTCTGTATATACGCAAACCACAGTTCCCTCAGTTTTTGAGAAACCTACTATATATGAAATTAAATCTGATTGCACACGTAATATTCTCTCCAAGAATCTTCTCATTTGTCGAAACCGCTGACTACTATGGGTGCTATATAAACTGAACGATCGGAATCAAATGCTTGTATGGAAAACTCTTTCATTTGACGAGATATCTTCACGAAATTTTGCATGAATTTTTGTCCAAAGCAACGGAACAATATCTGAAGAAATTTTACAGATCTAACTACTATAGCATATAGCTGCCATACAAACCGATTAAAATCAAGTTCCTATATGGAATCTTTTGTATTGTATTTGTGATGGTTATCATAGTTTCGGTGCAAGCGAAGTTAACATGGTTAATGTTCTTGTTTATAATTAATTAACTTATTAGTATGACTTATTAAATATAGTTCTGCGAAGAAGAAGCCCGTCTTATATCAAAAATTTTACTAGTTCAAAATTAACTAGTTGTTACGTTTTTTTGCACATTGAATTTTTGAATACTTTTGTATTATAGAAATGAGTCATAATGTTGGAAAGAACCAACTAATTCTAACTGTAGTAAATTTCGTCTGAAATTTTTATTTTATTTTAAAATCGTCGCTGAATTTTTCGAATTTAGTGAAAAAGTAAAAAGTTGTATAAGGTTAGGAATATAGTGAATAGAGTAGCAAAAGTAAAAGCTGGTGTGTTGTCTGACCAAAGACCGTAGGGATTATTAACCCATTTGGATTACTCGATACTATTTGGAACATATTTTATAATGCTACAACGATATAAACTTGAACAAGGTATCAACAATACGAAAGCAAATACTTGATGAAAAATTTTAAATCCCAAATAGTTCTGAAGTACTCAAAACTAATGAGTTTAGTCTAACCGGATGTTTGGTTGTGTAGAAAAGAGCAATTTTATTTATTCTTATTTTTTATTATTTTTTACAAAGCGAAAGAAAATCCATAATGATTTTCAACTCATCTAGCAAATTAATAGGAGCCCCTACTGGGTTATGAAGAGCATACATAATGGTCGTTGGTATATATAGTATACAGTTTAGTGTTTAAATAAAGAACAGCAACAAATTTGTATAAAACAAATGATTTTATGACATGAGAGAATTTAATTTCATTCATTGTTCGGTTGACCGGAAAACCGCTGCAAAATGTCTAGGCCTTCTTTTATTTGACCGCAAATAACTTGCTCATAACAAGAGTGGTAGATGCTTGGGAATATAGATACATATGTAATTAAGTATGTATTTAAGTATCCATATATATATATATGAATTTAACTATGTATATATTCAATACAGTCGAGCAGAAACGATGCGACCACACTCAGAGAAGGTGTAAAGAATATCGACAAAAAGCACTTCCAGCACAAATTTAAGCAAATAAAGGCGAAAGGTGGTCAATAAGCTGTTACATGGTAGCTGCTGATATATGGGGCCACAAAATTTAACTCAGTAAGCGTCACTATGAGCGGTGTTAATGAAGCAGGGTCTGAGAAGCGAGCGTTTTACCTGCAGTCAGCGAGTTAAAAATGACTGAGTTAATGATTATAATAATAATGATGGCTGGTGTGCAGTGAATCATTCAAGAAATATGTATACACTTATGTGTCTGTATGTATGCCAAGGGAAAGCAAAGGAAACTAAGAAAGATGATACGAAAAATGAATGATTTAAAAAGTACATAAAAGAAAAATTTTCTATGAAGAAAAATTGAAACTTGTGAGTAATGTGAGCTGTTAGCGTAGTTATGCAGTCGCTGAGTACAAAAACAAAAAAAACAACAATGTACCAGCGAATGCCAGCAAAAACTACGCCAAAGTTATAATCAAATTGAAGCGAGGAAAGGCGAAGGTAAAGCGAAAAAATATATAAGGAGAAAGTAAGAACTCAGTTCAATTGAAGAATTCTGCAGTTAAATAATGGCCACACAGAAAAAGTCGGGAAACAAAAATAAGAATTAAGAAAAATTTATAGAAAAGAGAAAAATTATAGTAAAAATAAAACAATATGAATGTAAAAGTACAAAGAAAAATGAAAAAAAAAGAATTATTGAAAAAATTAACAAAGACACAACTGCGAAAATTTTAAAAGCAAAAAAAAATTAACTTCGATGCATAAAAGCTATAATACCCTTCACAGTTCCATTTCTTATAGCATAAAACGACTATATGCTATAGTGGTCTGATCTGAACAACATGTTTGGAGATTGTACCATGTCTTTGATAACAACCCGTGCCTAATTCCAAGAAAATGCAGTGTAAAATGAAAAAGTTTTGCATACAAGGATTTGATCTTGATCGATCAGTTTGTATGCAACTATATGTTAAGCTATAGTTTTCGGATCAGTACAAGTTATTTGGAAATTGTAGCGATGCTCTAGGTAATAATCCATGCCAAACTTTGTGAAGATACCTTGTCAAATAAAAAAGTTTTCCATATAAAGACTTGCGTTTAGTGGGTCAGTTTGTATTACAGCTATATGCTATAGTTGTACCATATCGCCGGTTCCGACTAATGTGCAGCTTTTCGGTGAGAAAAGAACGTGTGCATAAATTCAGCTTGATATCTTCAACACGGAGAGCCTGGTTCGCATATACATATTTGGGCGTACATGGCTAAATCGACTCAGATCGTCACGCTGATCATTTATATATGTATATCCTTAATAGGGCTTCCGACGTTTGATTTTGGGTGTTACAAACTTCGTGGCAAACTTATATACCCAGGGTATAAATATGAATGAAAAAAGTAAAAAAAAAAAGTTAAGTAAAAACCAAAAAAAAGAAACATCTGCAAGTCCGACTCTCCAGCGTGTTGTTTGAAAAATAGTGTTGAGTTGTTTTGTCTGCAACTTTAATTGTCTCACTGTGATTGTTTGAGTTCATCGGGAAGTTGGTTATACTTTGAATGGGAATATGTACACATGCACACATAAATATATACATTTGTACATATATACTTGTATACTAGGTATATTATGTGCCTAAAAAATTATCATTTATATTTTTATGCACAACTTTCAACTTTGATTATACAGAAAAAGAACTATTACACCAAAATAACATTTGTATATCGGCATAAATGTTCATATAGGAATTCCCTACAGTGCAGTTGAATGACTTGCGGTTGATTTTTTTCCTCCTCGATATATAGAAAATAATGTAATTAATACACTAATTGCATAAAATAAATATTCATATTCACGCTGCTATTCCTCGAGCAACATACAATTACAACAACAATAACATCTACAACTGCAACCTTAGTATTGCTTACTAGCACTGTCATTGTCAATCGCAGATGTCATTGCCTCGGATTTATTGACAACTGTCATGATTACGCATAAAAATACCAACACTTCGCTAAATACGCGTACTCTCACATGGATATCACATGACATGCATAGTTGCGAAGTTAGCGCATAACTTCTTCATATATAATAGAGATTATGTGATAATACCAATAAATAAAGTGGATATGTTGCAGCTAAACCTCTTCGTTGAAAGCATGGCTTCATAAAAGCAAGCAGGCATCTTATAATCGCAATAAAATACAGTTATTCACGCAATGACAGCATAGGCTGAGAGAGAAAATGACTCGATGATAGCATAGTTTTAGTGCGCATAACTGCTTTATGCGATAACGGTATATGCATAAGTTAATTAACATATGCACAGATATAATATTTATTGAATATACCTCATAATTATATATTTTAATTATTGATTTTAATAAAAAATTTTAAACATTTATAAACGCATTTATGGCTTTTCAGTTATCATGTCAATTTGGAGGATAGTTCATATCTACTGTGAAATTAGAAAAAAAAAAACAAAATTCGATAGGTTATAAATACTACAAGTATAAAACTTTTTATGCGTGTTCTGTATTTTTTTTATCTGATCCAAAATCGAGTTTTGGCGACGAGCAAAATTTTTGGTAAAATCCAATTCTTTTTTAAACGTTGTGCATTCTTAAATTATGTATAAATATTCCCTTATAGGCTTAGAACAACGGATCGCCTTTTTTCTGTCATACTAGTTGTACCCCTTAAGTTCCATAATTTATCTACACCATATATTCACATTTTTATAAGAATAAACAGAAAATATTTTCTTTCTAATATTTAATAATTTAAAAACTTCACCCTTCCTTGCTCAATAGAGCCTCAATTCCTTATACTACTTCTATACTTTAGCAACAGAAAAACCTAGCGAAAAATCTGAAACCGCTCTACAATCGATATTTTGCAGTTTAAGAACTTCAGAACATGTTTTGTATAAATCTACAGCTGAGACTCCAAGGTTTCGTCAGTTATAGACAACATTAAAGTTTTTCGAAATCTCTTCATTAGCTAATGTAAGTTTTCACAAAGGAGCTTAAACGTTTGTAGGTTCTGCAGTGTCATAACGATAGAAAATATGCTTTAGGTCGTAGTATGTCTCTATCAGATTTATAAAATGTGGATTAAACTAACTCTTAGTTCGACTTATTATTTTTAAAAGACTTCAAACTCGTTAAATAGACTGCTTACAGGGATGCAAATACGAATAGTTGAATTTTAGTATCCTTTAATAAGCCTTGATTTGGTTTTCTTGACCTTGGCAAACATCTTTCGGAAGAAGAAAAAATTTGAAGTGCAATTTTATTTATTGTATATATATTTATAATAAGTATTAGTATAACTGAACCCAAAAACTGTGCAAAAAACATGTGCTTTATTTTAAATTTTTTTCTTTTTTCATCTGAACATACATTGAAAATGCACAAATGTATGTATGTACTTGTGTGTACATCCATAAAAATAATTGCACAATATTTTTCACAATTAATTGCCATAATTATGGATGTAGAATGTAGAAGCAATCTCAACTGTTACTTCTTGTGGCAGAAAATCTCATCTGTGAAATCTCACTCTAAATGGCTACATCATTTTTACATTAGAAAAAACATAATCATACGTACAAGTATGTATGTACATATGTATGCACTTGGTACCTATACAAGTATAACGTACGCATGCACTTCACAAGCATTCAGAATGCAATCAAACGCATTTTAATCGAGCTGACCTAGTTTTCTCCACTAGCTGTTAGAGTAATATGGAAATCAAACTTCGATTATCCAATTCTGGTTTTCGTGTTGCTCCTTTTATGCTAAATTACTTATGCCAGAGCAAATTATAGAGATTACGTACTCGCATAAACTTGCATACCTGTGTTTGTGTGTATGCATAAGTGTAGTGACTCTTTCTAACGTCGTCATTTGTATGCTCAGATTGCTATGTTGTTGTTGTTTTTTTTTGTTTTCTAACCAAGAATAGCAATTTTGAAGTCGCTTTTTCACTGCAATTGCACTTTAGCGAAAATCGCTCCGATTGCTCGTTGACGGAATGGAGCTGTAAGACAGCGTAGCTGGTTCTAATGACTGTGAGCATGCGCACTGAGAAAGATATTCATTATGAAAAGTTGTGAATGCAATTAGCATATGTAAGCGTTGGAGTATCTGGCACACATTTGCATTAATACATATATATAATACATACATAAATGTAGACTAATTGTATACACATATACATATGTATGTATCTAGAGATATGTGTGTCTATAAAGTATGCATAAAACTAACTGATTTCGCAGCACATAAATCCTTATTTGCATTTATTTCAAATAGTTGGACGTTAGCTTTGAGTGTACACACAGACACATGCATATTAAAATTTAGAAAAGTTGGCGTCGCTATGACAAGTTTCCCAATACAAAATGAAAAAATTTAATATAACTAGCATACCTTTTTCTCTTTGTTTTAATGTTAAATCCCAATTTAATGTAAAAAAATATTGTGAATGAAATAATATGTAAATTAACTACGAAATATATATGTATGTCAAAAAACGAAATATTACTAAAATATCGAAATATTCAATAAAAATGAAATCAATTTCCGAAATATATCGCTAAAAATAATATTTTCTAACAAAACTAGTAGAAATCAAAAATAGTAGAAATAACCAACCGTACCTTCATTTATGCTGTACACTGTAGCTGCCGTATAAACTTATCAAAATCAAGATAAAGATTTTTGTATATATTTATGTTTTAAGAAATGAACCTGTAAAGTGTTATATAGTTCGCGCCACTTCCGTTCTAACGAAGAAGTTCCTTAACTCAGCTTAGACACACTTATGTTTGTATGTGTGAGCGCAAAATGCTACTAAAACTGCATTTCCGTTCTGGCAACACAATACCGAATAAACAAGTAACACTTCAAGTAGAAACCGCAAATAACAAATATGACTATAGAACTATATATATATATATATATATATATATATATGCATACATACATACATACATACATACATATATACATATATAATTGTATGTATATTTAGAGAGGGTTGTGTATACAACCATTCAATATAAAACAGAACTAGCAAGCAAAATACCACTTAAGAAGGCACGATTCACGCATGGATCCAATAGTCACAGTATGCATCTGTAAATATACTGGTATATATATATATATATATATATATATATATATGTGTGTTTACACAAAGTGTTGGTTTTGAGGTGGACTACCCCAAAGGATTGACAGTTGAGTTGCAGTATTGTATTGTATAAAAAAAATCTAGAAATAAAGAAAAAGGAAGTAAATATGAAAGAAAGGTGTGTAAGAATCTACACAGTTGTTGTTTCTGTTGTAAACGCAGCGTCAGTTCAAGTACACTTCCTTTCGTTTTTGCTCATAAACTTTAAATGAAGGCGTAAATTAC